CCGAAATTTTGACAAACTATACATGTTCAGTGCTTCATATGTGTTGCATGCTCTACAGTCTACTGCATTTATGTGTGGTAATGGTATCTGGATATTCCCTTTACACAGATTCTTCCCCAACCACAATGACCAGGTCTACTCTTGAATTTTGGAACTGATGGTTTTAACCGCAGTATAGGTGGCACTCGCATTCCTTCAAATTCTAATCCAAGACAAGAGAAAAAAATACTATTAACCACAATTTACGGTACAGAACAGGTTTAGTCAAACCCTCAAACAAATTCCTGGGCAGTACAAGGTAAGAGGTTTCTGGAAATGAAAACACTAGGGGAAATAGTTCAAAGGCATCTGTCTGTGACACCTGGAAAACAGATAGAGGCCACTTGGTTGGTTTCCAAATCACGTACGCTGAGGCAAACGGCCAAATGAATTAATCTACATCGTTACAAGGAGAGGGAGAACGTGTTGAGTATAATACACCACAGTGCCTACAATGTACATGTAGTTGCATGGCAGTTCTAAGGATAGGACCCTCAAAATGCCAACAGTGTATTCATGGTCAAGGAATGGCTTTTCCATGTCTCAAGGAGAGGAGATGTTGCGAGGATGTGAAAAAGATTGTAAGATGCACACATAGGCCCTCCTCTGGAGGTGAACCTCAAGGCCGGATGGGGGGAGGGGGGAGAAGCAGGAACCATGGCCCTAACCCACCAAAGAGCAAAATCTTTTACTTTTGGGGAAAAAAAATGAGATAAAAAGCAATGGGGGGAGGGGCTTTTTCACTTCTTCCCCTCAAAAAGCGTATGAGAAACCCAAAATTTAGCCCCTCGCCTCCCAGAAAGGTTGTAAAAGTTTACTCAGTTTGAAATTTTTGGTCCCCCCCTGTCAAAAAATCTTTTGTCCCCCAATATGTGGTTCAATATCTGCCCTTGCAATTATAGGAATTCCACTGTTTAGTGAGGGTCCACTAGTGAACGGTCCACATCTCTGCTTGGATCAGTTCTGTACTTGGTACCCGTACAAACCATGCTCAGATAACTGTTTATGCTATAGCCTAAAGTTTGCATGAACGCACAACACATCTTGTCTTTTGCTCATATCCTGAGTGGTGCACCTTCATGCCACAAAGCAATCTGACCAAACGGTGCTCTGAAAGTTCATGCGCACCCTAAACCACCGGTGCATCTGTTAACTGTACATTGCATATTAAAAAACTACGTGCTCCGCACCTGCTGAGCTTTACCATGAATTCGTTTCTGTGAGAAGTATAGTCAACTCATTTATTTCTGTGGCACCATTGTGGTTTGGAATCCTGACAAAAAGCCAATGCAGAGAGATAGTTTTCAGTGAGTTTAACAGACAACTGAGAAGTTCTGCTCGGGTCAGTTCACTCTGAACTGTCTGTCTGGAATAATATGACTATCATTATTTTTTGGACTTTTGTTCTGTTTGTGAGTTTGGGTTGGTAACCTTAGTTACCCAGTATACTGGATAGAAAGCGTGGGGTTTTGGCAGCTGGTCAGAAAAAAAAGTAATTGATGACCAAAAATTGATGGCTGGAGCAGTGGTCAGTGCTGTCAGAAGGGGTTACCAAATGGGGCCGATAATGGGGTCTTTTATATGACTGCACTTTTGGAGGGAATGCTTAAGGTCACAGTTGGACAACACAACTAGGCTATTGGCATGTGTGTTGTTCCATAGGAAAAACAAGGGTTCAACCCTATATCATTTCACAGAACTAACGGGGAAACTACAGCATGTGTTTCCCCTAGTCCTTTGCTGCTTTACCTCATGGGAGGGTGTAAAATTGTCAGCCTTTCCCTGAAACTAGCATGCGGGCAGAAAAGGAAATGGATTTAGCAAGCCTTCATGAATTTTCTGGGGGGGGGGTTGGTTGGGGAGGGTTTGCGAAAGGTCAGTGAAAACCAGCTTGATTACATCTGGACATTCAAAGAAGGAGAGTTTTGTTGCTGAAGAATCTGGCTATTAGACAGGTCAATGAATAAGTGTTTGCTTAGGTTTAACAAACAATTACCCACAATCAACCAGTCACCTTGGGACCTAGCTGCAAAATGTGGAAAGGAAACATTTTTGGAGGGTGAGGGCTGGCCATACAACAGATGTTTGCAAGCACCACAATGAAATGCAACCAGGACAGTGAGTCTTCAGGATTTTGAGGACAAGGGAGTTTTCTTGGCCTTGGTCGACTGTGATTTAATAAATTGTGCAGAAGATTACTGTCAGCAGATCAGCAGTAAAAAAAAAATAAAAGAACGATGAGGCAGTTGGAAGGATAATGGTGGACCCAGGTGAGGAGAGACACCCATGTGTAGAGAACAGAGTAGCATCCTCAACACTCCAGGCCTACAAAGAGATCGAGCTGTCCTCATATCTGTCAAATGCATGTCCTATATGACTGTCCAAGCAGCTTCATAAAAGCTGGTTAGGCATTTCATTGCCTGGTGCACTACAGATCATAAAAGTAAAGGATGGATGAGAAACCGGACTTGAGAAAACATCATCCCCAAAGAATCTGCGTTCAAACCAGCACTGGGTTTGCAAAGTACATTCTGCAAGGCTGGCATTTATACTTAAATAAAAATGCCCATTTTCTTGGGAATCATTTAGAATTTTACTTAGAGAAGTTAATTGGTGATATGTGTATCCCACACAAAGGCGGCTGGGCAAGCTGGCCTGTGGAAGTTTTTTAATCATCATTATTCGTCATCCCATGAGCTGTTCCTACTGTACCTGCATGGGTTTTGAAGCCGGCTTCTTTTAGGCCAACAATGATCAGTTTCCATTGGTCGTCACAATAAATTAATTTAAGTCAGAATTTTTAACTATGGCTACATGTAGCTCTTGTCTTTGATCACAAGACAACTGTACTGTAATTACCCATACCTCCGTAATGTGAATTAGTTACACTGGCCTCACTCTGGGACTTGTGTTTAAAAGCAAGATGGCCAGTGCAATACACTTAGGTCGTGTCCGAAATGGGCTTCCAGAGCTACGGCTAGGTCTACTGTCTGCGCGTCTCCACGCAATTCCAATGGAGCGAAGACCTAGACCTAGCTCTAGACAAGAGATTCGGATGCAGCCATAGAGTGTCTGCTACACTCTCATTCACTCAATTACATGTGTATACAAACTGCAACCTGAGGAAAAATCTCTACAGCCACATGTAGGGCACATTAAAAAATGCTTGTTTGTACATTTTGATATCTCCCCAAGATTCAATTTACTCCAGATCTGACAGTGACAAGAATGTCCCTGGTTATACAACTGAGCTTGAAATAGACGTGCATGTAACATAAGCTACCTGACCCTAAGAGCACTCAAGAACGAACATGTATTCTCCAACTGAGACGCCTCAAGACACGATTGTTACACTAATCACCTGCCCACCCTTGCTGGTGTACATTCACTTGCCGATCTGGGTCAGCCGACCAGACCTATAAAGCATCATTAAATCTCCCTCAACCCCCCCCTCACCTCCCCCCTCCCTTTGAGGATGGCACAGAAATAAAAATGCGCGCATCACACCTCGGGCTGGCCTTCATCCTTCGTCCAATTACGCCTGATCAAATCGCTAATTCGTTGATGACCTTTGTGCGACAACTGCCGGACGGGCTGCTGTTGGTGTCCCGTCGGCGTGATGGGTCGTCAGAAGGACACCGATAACACTGGCAACAGCCAAAGGTATATCACCAACCGGCGCATGTATGTATGCATGCTGACTGCAATAAGAAGGACTGATAAAAATTCCTTGGCATACTTAAACCCATCTTATGATGATCACACACGTAAGCTCCATGCACAGCAAGCTACAAGGGTCCACATACTGCCTCATATTCTTTTTTTTCAACTGATACATACGTGGACGCTGCAGTGATTCACATTTCAAACATTATGATTCATCATGATTATAGGGCAAACATTTTAAACAAGTCATACACGACTTTAACTTTTCGAACAAGTGAACACAACAGAACATGAACATGTACCAGTGAATGTGCTGTCACAACTTTTCATCTACTGATACCATGCTGAACCCAACAAGGTTATGCAGGATTTCAATGGTCCCTAGGGGGTTAGAGTTAAACAGCACTTTATAACTGGATCTTCAACAGTTAATCACAGTAATACACTATCGGTAGTTATGTGGTAATGGCAATTTAAAAGAAGAAATACAAGTAAATGTAATGTTTGGGGAAAATGAACATCAGGCAAGTGATAAAAAGGCTTGATTAAAAAAAAAAAGGGACTAAACAGGGAGTCTCACCCATGCATGCAGCTACTTGGGGTACAGTAAGCACGAGTACAGGTATGGAGTAACATACCAAACATGTAGTAAATTTGGTTTATTTCTGTGAAACATTAATTGGGCCAATACAGCTTATATTCTTTATACTTGACAGGTAAACTCCAACTGTTGTTGGACTACCCAAAACCCTGTACCAAAACTAAATGAAATGAAACGAAAAACGACAGAACATATTCCGAGTCTGAGTCACCAAAAAATCGAAACAAGGATTTCGTTTGAGAAAGGTTCCGGTCATGTACACAAACATGTACATGTACATGTACTTACTTGTACATGTATCTCAACCTATACCGGTATTTCTGCCAAATGTACACTGAAAGCTTCATAAGTGGAAAGATGGTTTAATCTGTGCACTAACAGTACATATGAGAGTACATGTACATGTATGTACATGTACATACACAACAGCCTGTGCAATATACCGTGCGCTCAAATGAAGCTTTGCACAATTTCTGCCTGGCTTTCACAAAGGAGAAAAAAGTGTCCTCCAAATTCACCAGTGAGCTGCCTTTCAACAAACATTCTCCTGCCAAACCAAGTGACACCTTACAACCCCAGGACAATAACCATGACTATCTCCCTTGCTGACAAGTATGGCCACTGCTAGGAAAAGAAAGGAGGAGAAAGGGGCCCTATGATTTGTGGCAGGGCCTGCAGCTATGGACATTATTACCTGTAAGTGTTAGTAAAAGCTATGGTAAAAGTACCCTTACCAGGGCAAGGCAGAGTACTGTAGTGATCTGGACAGTGTACCCTATCAGTACATGGATGGAAAAAATTTACAAGAACACTCCTTGTACCCTGACCAGGTTTGCCTCTGTTAGGCAAGAACTGGACAAGGGAGTTATGGTCATGGTCACTTTAATGACCACCCTCCTAAAACCAAGTGAGGTTTAGTTTCACTGTACTGCTCATTAGCAAAAAACCTGGATGGGCATAGCACATGATGGCCCTTAGCTGGCATCTGGCTAAAAGTGTTCCAGACAAGCACAAGAGGGCGCCAGACATCTTTTACAAGAGTTAGCAAGTTCAAGGTGCTCAGTCTTCCTGACTGTTATAAAGATTACAATCCTATCTCCAGGCCAGATGAGCACTACTGAATGTTTGAAACATCTGCATACATTTATTAGACAAATACATGTACAGACAGAAGTGTCATTTACGTTTCATAAATTATATCCAGAACAAATACAGCAAAGCAATGGTAAAGTTTGATCTGCTAATATAAAGTGCAGTATGTACACAAATGCATAAATTAAACTGTCCAGATTTTAGGAATTGAAGTTCAAAATTGAAGTGACATCTTCAATCTCCAGTGTTGTTCTATTCAAAGCTCAAAGCATGGAAATATCTGAACAATTTGATTACACTGCAATGACCATCATTACTATGACAAAGAAGACCACCAATAATGAGGCACTTAAGAGCCCTTAAGTGAATACCCTCATGACCTTACAGAGCCCCATCTGATGTCAAAATGCATCCGGGATAAAAAAACAATAAAGCATAAAGAAAGCAGTGAGGGAAGCTTGGGGAGAATATCGAGTCCCCCTTGGTGGCAACAAAGTGACCTTCCAACTATCATTTTCTTGTGGGAATATCCTTCTCTTGTGGTAATATCCCGTAAAAACATAAAAGTTAGGGGAGTCGGCTGCACCTGTCATGGGGGCATTGTCATCCAGGGAACAGGTGCGGTAGCCACTGAATTCTTGCACGGTCCTGTCTGTTGCAGTGGAGCAGGATGTCCCCAGGCTGTTTACAAGAACCTGGGATGCCAAAACTATCAAAAAGGGCTCAGGGAGGTACGTGTTTGCATTGGTTACCAGTACTTTGTCCCATGGTATGTTACATGTACATGTAAGTTGTTACCCAGATGATGAGCTGGGGGATTCAGACACCTATTTGTTTCAGGTCATTGTGTGACACTAACTGACCACAATGCAAACAGTGGAGTGGATCTAAGAACCCTGATGAAATATGGACTAGCTTTGGGGTCACCTCTGATGCTCTGATGAACTCCCAAGCAGGCCAGTGAGTACATACTGCACCTGTGGTGGGGGGTTTCTTTTATCTTTGCTCAGTTAAAGGTACCCTACTTGTATCAGTGCATGAGCGGGTACCTGTACATCAAGTGTATACAATGTTCTCATCTGGTACAGTCTCTTGGGGCGCAGACTACAGGACAACTAATACATGTACTGTAAGAGGTTGACTCTGTCAAGACTGCAGGTCCATCTACATGTACATGAACACTTACAAAAAGAGGCCAGCAGGATTACATCGGCACACTAACCGTGTGCCAACTCTTGGGCCCAATTTCACGGCACTGGGTAAACAGTTTAGCAGAAAAGTTGTGCTCAATGTAGTTCTCAGCAAGTTTTTCTCACCTGAAGAACTATTTCATGGTGTGGTTGCACTAATAGCTGCGCACATAGGAAGATTTCTATTGTAACATCGTTAAGTTAACCAAATTTGTGTGCCTTTTGTCATACTACAGGTAACGTCTTACAGTCTCCATGAAATATGCAGAGCCTCTGCTGACGTAAAATTGAGTGCTTTGGCAGTGTCACGATATTGGATCTTGATCACAACTTGATCAGAGATTCTGGGTAAGCAAGGATGATCACCAATCCATGTAAGAAATACTCTACCCAAGCAAAGAAACCTAACTTCTGGCATGGGATGTACATGTTCGTTAGCCATGTACGTACGTGTACATGTACACGTACATGTACTGTATGTGCACTGGGTGTTCAGCACACTGAAGTCATTCAGTGGAAATTGCAATTTGCATTGCTGGAAGAGCAAGTCCATTGGTGAAGCTCAACAGTGCCCTCTGTTGGTAATCCCTGACATATTTTCAATGCACTGGCAGTGGGGTGGGGACTGGCCTTCTTCATAAATTCCAATTTGTGTACTTAACTTTTTTTGTCTTTTTTCCATTTCTTTTTCCTTTTGCCAAATGCTCGTCTCCTAATACTAGGAATACTATTAGGACAGAAGAATAAAAGATGAGAGAGCAAAATGGAACATTCTTTTATTTTCTTATCATTTGTGGGGTGATGGGGAATTTCCACTTCATATTCTCAGTAAAGAAATGAACCTGACTACATGGTAATACATCACAATATACATTAAGTTATTTCCTTTCTGCAGAAAAAAGTAGCATTCCATGCTCATCCCTTGAAGAAGTGCATCCCTAAATATCTTTGCTGTGTGCATGTATCTTTGCACTAGGGTATTAATTGGGGTCTAGGGTCTGCTAAAGATTTCATGGTATAAAAGTGTACTGAGTAGACAACCTCGATTTTCAAGTTGACCTTTAAAGATGGGACTACATCCTGCAGGGCATGGAGACAAACACAGGTCATAATATGATATAACCTTTCACTTACAGTTGTGTTAAAAAATATCTCGGTCAGAGTTAATTCAGCCATGCAAATCAATACTTCTGGGTCCCAGCAAAGACAGCAGCATTGCAGTATATGAACATTAATGTGATGACGGCACCGTGAATCATATTATGACTACTGGAACCCTGTAAAAAACATCTTGCAACTTTGATCACATTAAGGCTGAGCAGAGTTGATTTGATAAGACTAATCACGGGCTAAATAATTGAGTTGTAACTTAATGAGGAACGCCGAGACTGAAAGGGACCACTTTCATGATGGTCAGATGCATACCAATTAGTCATAACTTCTGTAATCAGTTTTATTTTTACTTCATGGCAATTGCAGCTCTGGGGGCATCTTTTCAAGGAGGGGTTCTACGCCTGTAAGAGTGTGACTGGGGAATGTTGCAAACTAGGACAGCTTTGCAGCAAGTCCCTGCAAAACCTGGCCAATTACGGACAGATCATGGTGAGCTTAACAGCACTGGATTCCACGAAAAAAAGGAATCCCGGGGGAAACTTTTTCTTTACCAATTAGAGCCAACTGCAGTGAAGTTGTGCGACCAAATTATCTGCCAGGAAATTGGATTGAAATTGAAAATTGAGAAATCAGTTTTTTCCTGTTGGGTTGACAAGTTACTGACACCCACAGAGTTAGAGGACTATAGAGCATATGGGAGAACTCTGTACTACATGTACCAACGAATTGTTTGCCACTTGAAATAAACTACATGTGCTATGTACTGTGCATGTACCGTGGCAGGACCCTCAAATGACATAGTAAAGACATGCCAAAGACGCAAGTCTGTCGTAAAAACAAGACAGTAACCTTCACCTTGTAAAATATGATTTGGCAGATGGTGGCTTAGCAGGTTTTTTGTAATCTAATTGAATTGGTATTAAAGGCAAGGAGTTCAAAGAGTACAGCATGGACATGAGATACCGGTACATGTAAGCATTTACGTACAAGTACATGTATGTACTTGCAAATCCCCAGGATCCAGTAAACTGGACAAGGCCACTCTTGCATGTTCCCCACATGGACACAGTTTCCTAAATTATTCAAAGACCATATACATGTATACAATGCACAATGTAAATGTACCGTACATGTACAAGTACACGTAACAGGTACAGTTTCACATGTACCGTACATGTCCCCATTACGTAAGCAATTACAGTAAAAAGTGCCATATTTATCGGAAACAGGGTTGAACGACATTTCACACCTTCAGAGTAAATTCAATTATTAATGCAATCCCCAGTACTCTTAACTTTACATGTATATGGTCTTTGAATAATTCAGGAAACTGTGTCCAGTATACTGTATCCTGGGGATTTGCAAGTACATACATGTACATGTAAATGTACATGTACCAGTATCTCATGTCCTCTCCGTATTCTTTGAACTCCTTGCCTTTAATACCGATTCAATTACAAGCAGAATGCCAAAAACCTGCCAAGCCACCATCTGCCAAATCATATTTACCTGTTTATTCTTCCACGTACCAGTACTTCTAAAAAAATTAACCAAAACCAACTAAATGTGTACATGTACATGTACCTGACAACTACGCTGTGCATATGTACACAGGGGCAGCTATAAATCCTTACTGGGGCAAGGTTTAGACATGCATGTGTCTCTAGTGTGTCCCAATATGTAGGCAGATCGTAACTCTTTTGTCATTACACCCAGAACTTTCATGCCTACTGGTGCTAGTACTTTGTTTCCACCAATCAATTTGTGTTGATTAAAGTTCACTGTGGGCATGTTAAAAATTTCATCTTCAGCACAAAACCGTGCACCAATAGCTCCATGCTTGCACTCAGGGGTTACCAAATGTTTCAGTTTAGACAAATGCCAGCAAGTGGATGTGGCAAAACCAACAATAAAATTACATGTGTTTATGCTTGCAGAGGATGTCTGTATATATAGTACCTGGTTCAACCTGGGAGGAAAAACTCAAACCTGGGTACCGACGGGTATACGTGTACATGGACATGTACAGGTACGTTAAAAAATAACAAAAGGGTGAACATTCACTTTTACCTGCGGTTCATGAACTTTGCCAACTTTAAAGGACCAACTGCAGTCACATGTACATGTACGGTGCACGTAGTCAGGTCAGCACAGGAAGACTTAAATGTTGCCATTTGCTGGCTGTATGTTATGCCCTTGGGTGAGGCACTTCACTCCAGTTTGCCTCTCTTTACCCTGGAGCATGCATGTACAGGTAAAATGGTTATTGGCATTAAATGGGGAGCAATCTCCCATGGACTGCCATCTCATCCGGTGCAGAATAGA